TAATATTATATAATAATACATATAATATATATTATATTATATAATATTATGTAATTATTAAAATATTATATAATAATAATAATAAATAATATTATATAATATAATATTAGCCGCGAGGCTCGAATAATCGTATCTCCTCGTCCCGAATTGTCGATTTTTGTGCACAAACTGAGCGTGAATTTGGGAGAATTTACTATTTATATAGAGCATGGCTATAACTAAAAAATGAATAAGAATGAGAAACTACCACGATCAAAACTATATGACGTTTACTGGCAACATTACCCATCGAACAGTACGTGTAATCGTTAAAACCGCACTTCAATTTACCTCAAGAGTATCCTATTATCCCTCAGCCACCGTTTCGATTCATTCGCGCCAGCGAACATGTTACAGAATCCTTCTTGTCTCTTATCCTTACTTTTCTTGCATACACGGTGCTAACGTCAGACATACGAAACGCATCTTTAAACCGTCCTCACCTTGTCATAACATCCTACGTTACTACACAATTATTCCTTACTTGTTTATTTCGTAAGGCTCAAAATGAAAATAACATCGCTCGCATATCGTACTATTCATGTGTGCCTACGCCGCTTAAACGACTATAATATGTAAATCCCGACTCGTGTCGTTCCGTTTACCGAACTGGAAAATTCTTGCATCGAACTTAATTTTACGAACAGCTTGCCGGAATCGCGAGACACATTTTTTTTTTCTACGAACCGCTGGAAAAAAAGGGGGGACCGAGGCCACCAGAAAAATTCAATTCGACGTTGTTGTTGTTCGAACGAACGTATTTGCAAACTAATATTCTACGCGTCCGTTCACAGCCATCGTTTCACCCTTACTGCAAATAATGAGAAATCGTTTGTCAACTTTCCACTCACTGTACCTCCACGCTCTACAACGCCCTACGCTCTACACGGTATTACGATTGCGACACTTTGTATCAACGAAACTGACCATTTTTTTTTTTGCGAACGATCTAACTGAAAATCGCCTCCGCTCTCCGCCAAGGCAATACACACTATCGGAGCATCGCGAATCAATGAGACCGTGGTAGCGCGAACATTTCTTTGCCACCGTTTCCAACCGACAAGAAGCTCGGGGTGCAATCGATAATTTCAGTTCCAGCAAAAACGATCGGTTGCTTCGAACATTTGGGAAATCCAGATCCGAGCTACTACGTTCGCTCGAAACAACCGACTACATGTACACCGAGCCGTGCAACCGGAACTGTGAATCGAAAGTAGATTTCGTTTGAACCGTCACGAGCGCGTAACAAAATGTTTCGAAGCCACGCGCGTACGGTTGAACAAATCGGTCCGATCTAGCGTCTAGAGTGCACAGAAATCCGGTTCACTTTCGATCTCGTCGACGACGATTGAAAAAAAGAGAAGAAAAGAAACGAAACGTTCGAGCGCCTACGAAGTACAGTGAACAGAATTCGCAAGCATGGAAAAAATATCTATGAATCCGCCGGACCGACTCACACGGCCTAGTCTCGGAAACACTAGCCGCGAGTTCGGATAAGGTTATCGGTAACTGATCGTCGATCCTGCGCTCGTCCACGGGCGTAATATTTCGTGGTCGTGGACCGGATATGATTGAATGCTCGCGCAGTGCATAACGCGGAACAGCTCACTTCGTGCCGACCGTCTCACGACGACTGAGACCGTGTAGCTCGGCGGCGACGCGATATAAAACAGCGACATAAAGCGGCGACGCGTCGCGGCGACACGACGCGGCGACCCTCAGGGCCGTCCGAGTCTAACCCCCCACCCTACCCCCACCCCGCGACCGAGCATCCTTGCTAACCTTTCTTCGGCGAGGTCTTCGCACGCCTCTATCCCTGGATAGAACTTACGATCACAACAGGTTTCTATTGTTTGTTGGAAAATACCTAACCGGACAATATGGTGGAATTTATCATCGCAGCTGCTTCAACGGATATCGCAGCCGATCGATAGCTTGCTGAGAAAAAGCTCCTCGATTCGAATCACGGCTCTGTGGCTTGCTCGGAGATTTCGTTAGAGGGTGAATTGTATTCTTACTTTTCAATTATGATTGATTATTATTAATAATGAATATTATATTAGCACATCGACGGCCGCGGCGAAAAGATCTCAAAAATTTCATGGAATTCAAGTATTTTAATCGACTAAATTAAACGTGCAAAGCGTATATAATAATTGTCAAAGTGTCAATTGTAATAATAAATAATAGATATTATTGTTTAATTGTAATCTTGAAAAATATGCGACGCATTTTAGAACACGAATCGCACACGGTAAATTCTCTCCGATCGTCCCTCAGCTTGTAAAGAAGAATGGACAATTTTAGTTTACAAGCTGAGGGACAATTGCAGAGAATTTGTACTGTATTAGGGAATTTCCTCGGATCCTTTCGTTGTAAATCGTGGACGTGGGGAAAATACGCGAAACGTAGGTTTTTCGTACAAATAAAAAGATAAATAATTTTCTATCTCGAGCGGTATTTTCAACTGAAAGGAAAATCGTATTGTGCACGTGTCGCGCAATTTGTATACTCTAAATAATCGCTCAATTATTCGATTAAAAGGGAACGTTGAATGCTGGACTCTTCAAAACGAAACGCAAGCAATCGAATTCATCATTTTTCAGCGATCATCATTAATAGCAATCGAGATATTTCGGTGACTTGTTTGAAACCCTGTACAAGCACCCTGTTCTCTACGAAGGTGTACAAATCGATGCACCAGCACATACTTAATTTTCGGAAGATTCCTTTATGCTCGTACGTATGTGTAAGAGAACGCCACAGCATTTTGCCGCAAACGACTACATGTAGTCGTACGTATATGAAAACAGGTTACTAGGTTATCTGGAAGAACTGCGAACTACGTTAGCTCCTTTGGCTTATCAGCCATCTGCCTACGTGTTCACGTTTCTTGTCTTTTTTTTTGTTTTGGAAAAATTCTGAACATATTTAATTCTATAATTCTACAACCATAGAATGTAAGGGTGTTCCAGAGAAAAAGAACGTTCAATAGAAAATTCACACGCAATTGCAATTCGATGCAAAATTCAGATAAATCAGTCATAGTCAGTGTTGCCAGGAAATATATGATGCGAGGGGAAATCTATTTGCAACCTTTCGCCGTGCCCCGTAATTGCAAACAAACTTCGAGTAATGGAGGGGTGAGGGGATGCCGGGAGTAAGCGATTTCTTGGCACGACGTAAAGGGGTTAAAAGAGATCTCCCCTCGCGCCGTACATTTCCTGGCAACACTGGGCATGACAATGTATATGCTCGGAGTCTAGAACAGCGATGGTCTGGAATGTGCTGCACAGTGCTGGAAGGGAGAACCAAATGAGACGGCGACATTACCATTGGAATCCATTGGCATCATCCAATCCCGTTTTTGATGCCCCTGCATCACTCTGCAGCACATTCCAGGCTACCTTTGGTCTGAAATTGTCCTCTCTCCAATTGTCTCTCAGCTTCTAAAGAAAAATGGACAATTTGAGAAGAGGAGATACGATTATTCAGACTCGTACTATTATCTGTCTCTTATACACATCTAGATGTGTATAAGAGACAGGCTTCTAAAGAAAAATGGACAATTTGAGAAGAGGAGATACGATTATTCAGACTCGTACTATTATCTGTCTCTTATACACATCTAGATGTGTATAAGAGACAGGCTTCTAAAGAAAAATGGACAATTTGAGAAGAGGAGATACGATTATTCAGACTCGTACTATTATCTGTCTCTTATACACATCTAGATGTGTATAAGAGACAGGCTTCTAAAGAAAAATGGACAATTTGAGAAGAGGAGATACGATTATTCAGACTCGTACTATTATCTGTCTCTTATACACATCTAGATGTGTATAAGAGACAGGCTTCTAAAGAAAAATGGACAATTTGAGAAGAGGAGATACGATTATTCAGACTCGTACTATTATCTGTCTCTTATACACATCTAGATGTGTATAAGAGACAGGCTTCTAAAGAAAAATGGACAATTTGAGAAGAGGAGATACGATTATTCAGACTCGTACTATTATCTGTCTCTTATACACATCTAGATGTGTATAAGAGACAGGCTTCTAAAGAAAAATGGACAATTTGAGAAGAGGAGATACGATTATTCGAACCTTGCATCTTGTTTTTATAATTGTTCACAATTGGCAACTATAAAAATGAGCCCTAAATTGTCCATTTCTTGTTTACAAGCTGAGGGACAATTGGAGAGGCTTCACTGTACTCGGTTCTCCAAGAATTGGCAGGAAATGCAAACGAACTGTTCTAGCGGCCCCTAAAAGGGACCCCGCACGTCCCAAAATGATGGCATTTCCGGGAAATGAGAGATTCCTGAGATCATTCGAAGTAACACTTTCCTTAACAAAAATGCAATCCGTAACTCCGTTCACGAGTTATTAATGAAAAACAGTGACTGTGACATGGCGCAGAGTAAAAAGATGATCGTTCAAAATGGCCGACATTGCGTCAGGCTTGAAGTTCAAACCTTTAGACGTTGTCCACTTATATCCAACTATCGATCACCGTAACGTGCGAACGTGATTTTTGACATTTTTATAAAAATAACGACGTGTGCGTGTTGTTTCAAAGATTGCGAAGAGAATTAAAGTGTAATATAGTGGGAATACATCTTTCCCACATACATCTAAAATCTACTGCCGGCGTGCAGTTGTTTACACTTCCTGCCAATTCTCGGGAAACCGTGCAAAGGTCTATAGCTGCAGCCTATAGTCCTCCAACCATGGAAGCAGAAAGCCTGCGCGATGTTCATGCGATCGGAGCCAACACGGCTCCGAAGCTATTGTCTGCCGAATGACAAGCACGGCGCCAACTTTTGGTGCTCCTCGGTCGAGGGGGCCCAAAGTCTGGCCTCAGACGCGTGCAACGTTCGCCTCTTAGTTTGGACTTGGCGAGCACATAATTAGTTCATTTGTATGAGCAATAATTCGCACAGCAGTCTCGCTTACTTGACAGTCAGTTGCCTTTGTATCAACAGTTTCTTCTCGATTTGTTCAATTGGAAATTGCGGCACTTCGTAGGGAGCTGAAATTTCGTTCGGCAATTCCTGCGGCGCCAGCCTCAACGTTGATCCGCCAACTGCTCCTGTTACGCTACCTTCCAATCCAAACACTGGACTCTCACTGCCTGCAATCAAGACGATTTCGAATGCATTATTGAAATTTTTCGTGTTGACGGTGCACCGTCGGGGATTCGTTGCGAACAAATACGATATAATATGTATGTACTGACTCGTGTTTGATTAGTAAGTTATCTTTATTAGACTATCAATCTAAATTAGTTAGAACCTATTTGATTGATATGCTTGAACGATATGCTTCACGTCGTTAAACATTTCAATGCGCAGTAAATTCTCCCGGATTGTCCCTGAGCTTGTAAACGAAAATGGACAACTTGGGAGGAGGGGATACGATCATCCCTCCTTCGATAATTTTAAATTCTTCTCCCGTTTTAAATGCAGAAAATGTTTTCAATCAGGTGTACCATAATTAAATGAAAACTAGAAACAAGAACAATTCTTCGCCAGATCAGAACACGCTGCAAATTTGCCACCTGTCTCATTGTCATAAATATAGCATAGTTCAATTGTTGTTAACTACAGTGTCACACGATTGCAACTTCATTCGTACAACATTTATTATATCTATACTTATGTAAATTATTTATATCTACACTTATATTTATATAAATCATCTATATCTATATTTATATTTATACAACATTAATTATGTATTTATTATATGGCCCCGATGTGCCAGTTATTTTTTTTTTTTAAATCATCTCCTATCAGTTTTATTCAGCGTTGAAACCACGTCTCTCTCTTTGTCCTTTTATATTGTAGCAACGAGAAATCGTTAACCCGATTTAAGTCTATAGAATAAACTCGAGTAATTACCGTCGTTCTTTGCCTCGCTCGTTTTCTGCAACCATTCCGTCACGGAATTCTGTTTGCATCCGCTCAAGTATTCAGTATCATTGTCCAGTACCATCATCTGAACCGTTCCACGCGACTGAAAAGATATCCCATTCGGAAGTGATCGAGTTGGCCTAAAGCTTATCCAATTGATCAAGCTTGTCTGTCGATCGTCTGTTGCAATTGCGCACTATTCTACGCTCGCGACGCTGAAGCAGCGGTTACTCTAGTTAATAATTGCAACTGCTACGGTAGATTGGAGGTAACGTAGGGTGCGAGCGATAACAGGATCAATTGCAATTTCTTTTTCTTTTTCTTATTTGGCGAATCGGGTGAACTCCGCCGAAGAAAAAGTAGAAGAAAACCGATAGGTACAGTAGGAAATGCTTTTAAAAATTCTCTTGTTCAATTATAATCGTTATTTGAACATTGTAGAATATACTATGTATGTATACAAATATATAACTGAATATACACCTAAATATTTCTCTTAATTTCCTCGTTATGGAATAACATTCTTCCATTTAACGCTTTGTTTTTGAGAAAACTGTGTTCGAAGATACGTCAAGTCCACGTGGCTTCTTAGTACGACGACAAGTAGAATTGGTATGCCATGGCCAGACGTGTCACTCTACTCCTACGGTATTGTCTCTTCTCAGCCAAATTTTTCTCAGAAACAGAGCCTCAAGTGAGAAAATGTTATTCCTTTTCTACGACCTATTTTTACATCTGGAATTACATCCCATGGTTACCATTGCACCGTGGTACTGACAATTCTTCCTAATCGGCGCTCAGATTGTGCACAAAAATGGACAATTTGGGACGAGAAGATATTATTATTCAAACTCGCACTATTATCATGATAATAATAATATATATATAAATATTAATAATAATATTATTGGTATATTATATTTGTTATTATACTATATATTATTATTATACTATTATTCAAATTCGCACTGTTATTATTATTATAATAATATATATAAATATTAATAATAATATTATTAGTATATTATATTTTTTATTATACTATATATTATTATTATACTATTATTCAGCTCATGTCTATAGCAGCCGATCGTCAACAACAATAAAAAGAGGCCGCAAGACTCGAATAATCGTGTCTGTTTTAAGTCCGCGTTTTAAGTCCGTTATCTATCAAATATTTCATATATTCCATTGACCGCGCCGATAACCGCTAAACTTATCCTGACCCGCATTCGACAGATTCACCAAATTCTGCGTAAAAATACTGACAGAGAATCGAGATCGATGATTCCGGGAGTTCAGTTAAATTCGATTAGCCTGCACCTATACACGATCTTACCATCCCGTCCCGACATTTTCACCTTTCAGCGTGTACATTTAGATTCACGCTGCAGTCCCACTTAGCAAGGTCACTGCGTAAAAACGCGTCCGAAACGCTCGCCGAAAAGTATCCAATTCCGTAAATCATCGGCAGCTTAATTTGGAGATGATCCAAAGCCTTGTAACTGCGTCGACGACGCGACGCGGCGCGCGTCGTTAACGTTTCGAACGGGCGGCGCGTATCGCAGTTCAGTCGTTTACGTACTTTTCCTGGCTCGGAAATAACTACCTATTCATGGTAGATAAGATACGATAGGTGAGGTTCGACTGACAAACGAGCTACATCGGTCACGGTTTTTATTTTACTGATTACCATTTTCAATATACAGTTACGTACTTCCAAAAGTATTCGGTCACCAGAGAGCGAGAGAGACTGGACTTTTTTATCTTACGATCAGTCGTCTCGGTTAATTGGAAAAGAAATGATATTCTAATCGATGCTTCTGTCGCGTATAGCTTGTCATACAAGGCGGCCGTCTAAATAAATTTCGTCATCTGGCGAAATTATTTCAAGAAACGGTCCAGCGATTTGGCCTCCAAAAGCGCGCGACCACACGCCTCCGGATTATCTTATTTATTTTATGTTGACAATTCGAAATAGCCGAGAGATCAAAATAGATGTAAAATGTGAATGTACATTGTTTTCCATCCGTTAAAATAATTACAGGAAGATCGTTGTATACAAGTTTCGCTGTCCAAGACAAATTTTGCGTTCATCTAAGCAGATAAAAAAATACAATAAATACGATAAATATATAAATATAAAAAATCTGGAAGTTACTTTTGAGAAATGCTCGACTGTAGGAAGCCCGGTGAAGAACGTAGTTTTCGGGGAAAAATATGGGGTTGCACGTAATACTACAGAGATTGCTATAGGGAGCTAAGATTTGCGCATAGATGCTACAGTAACGCTGAAAAAAAAACAGCTATCCTACAGGAAGAAGCTCCAACCTACTGTACAGCGAGAACGCAGCATTGTCAATAGACAAAATATACATAGAACATGATACTATAGTAAACGAACACAGGCGATCGACCAGCTCGAAATACTCGTGTCTCGTAACGCTGATAAATAGGTATGTACCAGGCGTTCTCACGTTTCGAAACACAAGTTTTTTCCACACGTGCAACGTCGGCACGGAACACAAAGCACAAAACGCACGCGGACGATGTTCGACCGATAACGAACCCGAACAACGCTGAATAGAGCGAACAGAGTGAACGGACACCTTGGTAAAACACGCGGCACAATATAAATGCCGGTAACTGTAAAATCAGCAAGGCGGGTCTAGTTTGTTATAATTCTTGAGAGGGCACTGACCACTTTAACTGGTCGCAAGTATCGAGCACACTGGCTGTGGCGTAGAGCTGCCACTTGATAGAGATCGTAGAATCTACATACGTATGCACGGCACCCACGCACGTTCGCTCGCGTGTTTACTGTACACGTACGATCGTACGTGTCCACTGACGAGCCCGCTTTTTGCAACTGGCGTCAATGCATTTCGGTTCTGGCCAAAAGTCAATTTTTCCAAAGTTCGACAGATCCAAATAAATTCTTTTTGCTATTACGTAATACGGTAATGTCTCTCTAATTGACTGTCGGATTGTCCACGGAAATGGACAATTTGGAAAGAGGGGATACGATTCATTCGAGTCTTGCGCCTCGTTTTTATAATTACCGATTCTCAACAACTATAAGAACGAGGCGCAAGACTCGAATTAATCGTGTCTCCTTCTCCCAAATTGTCCATCTTTGTGCACAATCCGAGCGTCAATTAGGGAGACATTACTGTAATCCTTTATTGATTGCAAGTCGAAAAATTTTAGATGATTTTGTGATGAGAAGACATTTGTTTTTAAGAAGGTGTACTTCGAGTATTTAATCCGGTTTTAAGCATCGTTTAATTCGTACAATGTGAAATTTGGAACATTTAAAACTTTGAGGGCGGTGTCATTGAGACAACGAATTAATAGCAAATTTAAAAAAAAGAGAATTAAAAGAATGATCAAAAGTGATAAGTATCGGAGTGTCTTTATACGAAAGCTTAAACAATTACTAAGATTTCATGTTACAGAACATTTTTACATCTACATTGAAGTACTTTTCCCTTGCTACAAGCTTCTTAGAAAAACAATTAACTTCTATTTATCACCAGCCTTGATAAAATAATTATCGCCACAATTCAATTAGTGATAAGAAAAATCAATTCACTTGAAAATCGTAATGAACTCAACGATGACAGAAATATAACGATAAATGTGTCACTCGTTCCGGCAATCAGAAATCTCCAACAAGAAGAAAAAACGGTAGAAAAAACTGATAGCAGTGAACTGATTTAGAAAGAAAAAAAACTGATTTTAGTGAACTAACATTCTACCTTGCGCTTGTTTCAAAAGCGTAAAAAACGAGTTCGTCTACAACGTATTTTTCTGTAAACTGAAACTGTATTACACGTTTCGATAAGATCCAGGTCGAAAGGTTACACATCAGCCGCTTTAACTTGTTTTCCCGGCCGCGGTGTTCTTTATCTCGATGCTTAGTTCGAGCTGTCGAGGCTGGCTCGAATGACAATGGGATTAACAATTTCGAAAGGAAATTGTGAAGCGTAAGAGCATCGAAGTAAAATTTTCAGCACGACTTCAGCTAGACTTTGTCTACTAGAAACTAGTTTATCCTAGGTCCCAAAAAAATATGCGCCGTTTAGCTCGGATAAAATATCCTGAAAATTTGCGAAAATTTTCAAATTATTTGCCTTTAAATTTATTCGCGATATCTCGTTAATTTCAACAGCCTGCGTCCTAGGATCGTTCAGCTGAATTCGATGGCCCACGAACTCTCGGACGTGAAATACTAAGCAACCGTTTCACCCATTAATATTACAAGCCAAAGATGGACGATAAGGAACAGCTGTGGATTTGTGAAGTGACCGCTCGCTAACAGTATATTTGCACGCATTAAAGGCATCGTTCAAAGCCGGTTGAGGAAGACTAGTTAAAAATAAACCTCCGCAGTCATACATACATGCTCAGTTTCCGCGAAATAAAAGGAGGTTTTATTGCGAATAAAGCTAAAATTGATCACTGACTAAGTCCGTGTCTTGTGAACAAGCACATACCTATATTTGCAGCGAAGAAATTTATCGTTTTCAAAAAAATTGTTGACACCGGATTAATAGGCCGTAGATCGTTTAATTCGCGCATCTATCCAGTTATTTCAATATTTCGAAAATGTCTTCTCACCTGTTTTCTGCATATGCGATTTCGTGGCTGATCTCCGCGATAATTCACACATACTTGAACGCGCGTTAATTGCAAAAACCACGGGAAACCTTGACAATAGTCTTTTCGAGATTTTCCAGGATAAGAACAATGTTTCAGGAATAAAATAGAAATGTCTGGTACACGTTGCAATAAACAAATCGACGATAAATCGCACGGAAGTGACGGCACGCTATCAGTCCTTCGATCACGTTTCAACGAGATAGCATATTGTCTGACTAACTGAAAAGCTCAATTAACTCCCACGAGACGCACCTGTCGTCTTCCTGCATTGCGTCATGATCGCGCGGATAAAATGTGTCGTTTATGCAGCTGATAAGATATCGTATTTGGCGTGAAAAATTTCGTGTCCGAGCGGCAATATATTTTCACGGAAGAACGTTGAATTTTTTCTTTAGAAACAGACAATAAACGCTATATTAAACTATAACCTGTTATCATTTCATCGAACAATTTCTTTATCTTGAAATGTGCGAGATAAAAACACAATGATCACATTTCCACTATTATCGCTATTTTTGAAATTACTCTGGTCTCTCGTTGAAACATAATTACTCTATTCTCATCCCCAAACATTTAGGCAAATTGCTTCAGGATATTCTCTCTCAAGGCATTATCGAAATTTGTACACAATGTTTTCGTTCATCAAGTAAATTTTCTCAGATTTACAATCAGTTTTGCATATACAGCAGAATTAGTTTCTAAAGAGAGATTTGGCAAACGTATCTTTTAGAATAATTACAGCAAATAATATACAATGTACCAACGTAGGACTAGCATAATTCAGAATAAACGACAATAAGTGCTATCTGTTATGACCCAACGAATAAATTACGGCGGAAGCTGTTGGAATAAAGAATAAATTTACCTTCGTCCTCAGAGTCGACAAGGAAATTCGGTACACGCAGGTAAAGGTCATCCCACGTCGGATTCACTCCTCTGCTTGACATTTTTCCAACGTGGTTAACGCCCGAATTAGTCGAACACTTGTTCGGTAATAACGCTACCGACTTGGAGGAACGATTCGGTCAGCACTGTTCGGCGGCTTCGTTTGAAATTAGGGAACAACCAGAAATTGGAATCTGAACCGTAGCACGGTCGTTAATAACTGAGTTTAATAGTCCGTCGTCGAGCTAACTATAGTTAGCTGGCCGCTGTTATGACACGCACGTGCTAATTGCACTACTTAACATTCGAATAAATACCGTCGGAACCTTGCGCGGTATTTTGCGCACGGTATACTAAACCTCGCTGCGCTCGGAAACTTGTGATTAGGCGATTAGAGTATTGACAGTTGTTCCGGTGTGCTTACGATGCCGTTAGAGAAATTCATATCCGACGGAAAACTACTCGACGGCGAGGCCCGACCGACGAAACACGCGTGCGAAACATTCGTAGCGTTTAACGGGCACGATGCAACGACCGTCGAAGGCCGTCGAAGATCGTCGAATAAGTTAACAGAGACCGACGAACGAAACGTTGTTGCAAAGCGTGTACAAGTGAAATTGTTTCTATTCGCGTAACGACGAACTTACGGACGGCCTAGCAAACTGTGCACGAGTGGCCAGCAAACCTTCGTACGGTGGCAAAAATACTATTCAGTTCGAGAGAAGAGAAGACAGTGACGTCGAAAGCAACAAAGATGTCGGCTCTTTGCCAATTTTCAAAAACGTTGTCCGCCGCTATTGACATCAAGCACGCGAGAACTTCGCACTTGCACAGGGTGCAAGCTCGCCGTCTTGCATCACTATCTTCCATTCACGTTTGTATTATTCTCGTCCGCGGCGGTTAAATGTTGCTCGAGAGAAATTCAATGATCTCTAGAATATTCGCTTGAACGGTGGCTGCGAGACTCGCTTTCGTTGCTGGGAAACTCTGGCCGACACCATGCAAACACGTGTCGAAGCCTAAGGTCATAGTAGCTACCCTTTCCTAAACGTAAGACGCAGCACGGTCACATAGTGTATTTTTTAGTTTGAAATATTATGAAATATCTGTTTGTCTACTTTATTAATAGTAGTCTATATATACGGTCGGTGTGGAAAGTGTTCGTACAGTGACCAATTCAAGGTGAAACTGCACACGTATGTCCACACGCCAGTAATTAATTTTATGAGGAAACAATGATTGATGAATATTCTCAAACGTTTGTAGAATACATTTTGTATTATAAACAGAATTCTATTTCCCTTCGGCATCACGAAATACAGTTCGTCAAAGAAATTAAATATTTAATGGTTCAATCATTTGTGGGATTACCAAATTGATCGTTAGAATGTTCATACCACATTCTCTCGATTTTGCCCTTATTCTACAACATTTCAGATTTAATGCAAAAAGAAATACTGCATCCCTTTACCTCGTTCCTATCAAAAGTTTTTCGATTTTGACACAACTTTTACATTTAGCCCCACTGTGCGCCGCGTCGCATTCGGAAATGCCAGAGAAGTGCTCACAAGTGGTGAGAGAATAGTGGAGAGGAAACATTAGAAACGGGGGTGAATGAGTCTTCTCATGGGTTCCTCTCCCTCATTCCACCACTTATGAGCACTTCTCTGGCATCCCCACCATCCTGCCGGCGCCGCACGGTGCCACGAAATCCAGCTTATCTCTCTGGCTTTGTTACTAACAACTTTTACGTGAAATATCTCTCGAAAGCCATAAGCCGTCCGCGCCCAAAAAATTCAGTTTTACAAGCTCTATCACTAGTCGAAATCTCGATAAAAAGTCAGCGTCGCCTCCCTTTATTAGTTTTTCTGTAGACTTTAATAAAATATATGAAAATTTGAATAAATTGTCGACAACCAGATAGTCGGACAGCAATATTTATGCTCGAGATGCGAATGGATCTGAGCTCGCCGTCGGAATGTTAAGTGCCCGAAGCGCGACGTTCACTTAAATACATTTTCATTTCGCCAATTTTCAAATGTACATATTTCGAATAACTGTGGCCTGTAACGAGAACATCTGCTTAAAATACCAAAAAATGATAACAGTGAACGTGTTTGACTGGAACAGTATGTATTTAACCATAATCGTTTCCATGCGAGTTGCAGCCAGTGAAAAGTAAAACTTACGATCGCGATGTGGATCAATGTTGTGTGGAGTTGTGGAACTGTCGGCATCACCTTCGCCATTCAAATCGTAGTAAATCCTGTCATCTTCTCCGTTCACATCCTTTGGGCTATTTACATCTACCAGCTCCTCCATATTTCTGAAAACAAAAGTTGATTTTCTTGAACGATTTAAATATAATTTGTGGAACAAATTAATAATAATAACAAATTTCAATTTCCATTGAAATGCGCTATCGAGCTTACGGCCATTAAATCAGAGATTTGAAAAAGAAAAAGCTTAAATAAATAAATTTCAAACTATACATTATTGAATAAAATAGTATTTGAAATAAAAAGTAGAAATATTTTCAGAGATACGAGTTTGAAAATTCGCTCTGTACATACGCATTTATGACTAACAAGCTACGGCTCGTCGAGCGACGTATATACAGTTATACATCGCCTATAGCCATAAGTGCGTATGTACAAAGCAAACTTTCAAACTCGATTTTCTCGAAAACCAAATCGATTTATTGCTATACGTAATTTTCCCATAATTCTCACTGTATTTCCATAAAAATTCTCTTTGTTCCAATAAAATACTGACGGAATTCGATTCTAACAAAATCCTGGCTGTAATGTTAAATAAATAAAAATTAAGTTAATTCCCACATTGTAGCAACATCAACTGAGCAACATTAACGTTCAAACAGGCGGGAACTTTGACTTTATAAAAAAATTAACGTTTCTGAATTCCGCAAATTGTTGCAAATCTCAAAGGATCTACAAATCATATAACAATGCTTGCGGATTTTTATGACTGCATGTCTACATTCCACTAAAAATGTCTTCGTGAAAGAAAGAAGAGACTCAAAGTGCAGCATCTGTCTTAACAGCTTTATCAAATATTTGGCATAACAGCCGTGAACATGTTTGCAAAGCCAACAGGTGACCGTTAAATATTAAAAGTTGAACAATTGATTCGATCATCGGAGGAAGGGGTATGTCGCTCCAATTCGAAGTATTTGTGGCATAGTTCGAAAAGCGTTTCCGTTGTCATTACGGAGACTCGATACGACACGTGTGGAAACTAAATATTCTCGCTGATTACTCATTGCATAAAGTAGAAAGAACGTGAATCATTAATATTGGCGCGTGCATACATATGTAAAGAAGGATGAGACAAATATAGCAAGAAAATAAACATACATACATAGATTTCTTTACTCACGTTGTGTCGTGACCCAAGAACGAATCAAACGTAATTTTCCTTTCGAAATAATCGTTGAACTCACACAACTATAACTGTACGAACGATCAGTAAACACTGGTTACGCTTTGGACACTGATTGAGAAACAGTCACACAATTATTACAGAATTTGACGTTTAAGAAGACACGCACATACACATGTATTATTCTCGTAGGGACACTGGAAATTATTTCATATTATTGTGCGTTCTACGTTCATAATTATAATAGGTGCGATAAGCTCACTGTGATCACTTGAACAATGCATGCGTACTGCGAGTACGTATGGACATCTATAAATGGAATGCAAAGTGAAATTCGGTTTCTTCGAAACGGTAATACTGGAGGATGCAGGAATCTAAGACAGCTCCAAGTGAGAAGACACCGCATGAAAATATAATGAAAATATTCCAGCGTGTCGACGAAACGTGCTGGAGTATACTGTTAGCTACCGACTCTCACTACATATTTCGTGACGCGTTCCCGGACCAGGACCGTCTCTATCCTACCATGACCCTGCATCCATTACATTTTATTTCAATAAACTTTCAAACTAGAAACGATTCCTGGTTTACATTCAGAAAGAACGATAAACCAGCTTCTTATTAGCTCCGAATTCATGGTTCGTTGTTTTAATTAAAGAATGGAATTATTCCAGTTGTCATCGATTGTAAAATATTCATATTTTACATAATGTTAATTGAAGAAATGAAACAATGAATAGCTTCTACATACATTTGTACATATGTATATGTATATTAGATTAATAAAAAAAATCCGCTGTGGAACATGCTGTGTAACATGCCGTGGAATATGCTATGAAATATACTGTGAATTATGCTATGAAATAATATGAAATATTTCACCTGAGATCCTGAGATCGCTTGAGATTGCTGGAAACTGACTGGAAATAAAGAGATCCACAGCAATGAATATGATTGGCGGAATGTGGCGGTGGCGATGAGAAGCTCGTTGCACGGAGCACGAGCGTAGTTAAACTGGCGCAGGCTCACATCTATCGATCTTCTGAAAATGTATACTACACGACCGACCGCCATTGCTGCCGTTGCATCCTTAAAGTCTCATCTTTTCATTAAGCAATAATTAAACGAATTCTCTCGTTACGAAAACGGCTACCTACTGACCTGTAAGAACATAAAAGTCTATTCGTCAATAACACATTTATAGCCTGAAATTATTGTCCCAATTTGAATCATAATTATTCTTATAATACAGACGATACTGTCAATTTCAATCGCCACATATCACATATATGTACACTACATGCATACAATGTACATGTAGCTCTTCATCTTCAGCGTTTGAATTTGTTCATACATTCAAACGTGCGCAGAATAATTGACCGATCAATTTGTTCGAATATTACAAGTTGAATTCTACATACATATTCTATTTTCTTTTCCTTTTTTTTTTAAACTATACTAATAATGCTGGACATCATATCGATAAAGAAATTCGATACACGTGACTTTTAGTTTTCGTTAATATATGTAACTTTATTGCATGAAAATAAAATTACGTTATGTTACACTCCACGCGAATTCCTTCTAGATGTGCGTCATGTAAATGTGCATTCAGAATTTATAATCCTTGTAAATTCAGAATATAATTTAGCTTTGCACGTATGGTACACATACATATAGTAGAAATATTAGGTTGATGCTCATAAAAAGAACTAACAACGATGATCCGCGTATAGAATAACAATTGCTCAACGGTGACACGTTTCTGCAATCGCGTCGAACTTGAAAAGATGGACAAACCGATGGTAACCGAGTTTGCGTTATTTTCAGGAAAAATCCGGCATTTCGTATGCATCGACCTAACAATAAAGATACTTAGGCTTCAATTAAAATCAAAATCGCTCTCCGTGTTCGTCACATTCTGTTCGAGCGTGCTGTCCGTGTCAGAATCTAGCAAAGATTTGATTACATCCTTCTTTTTCTTCTGCTCATTCTTCGAAGCTAGCATCTCGCTTTGATCCTCCTTCGAGCTAACCGTTCCCACGCTGTCCTCTTTTTCCTTCTTCTCCTCCTCCTCTTTTTCCTCCTTCACCTCCTTTTCCTCCGTTACCTCTTTTTCTTCACTCTGCGATTCCCTCGGCTGTTCCGTCGACTCTTCCTCGACCACATCCACCTTGGCTTCTTCCAGCTCGAGTTCACCGTCTCGCGGAATTTCCGCCTCGCCGGGCTCGTAATGTTCCTCCGCATTCGTCGTAAACTCTTGATTCGGCTCGTATTGTTCGTTGTAAGGATAGCCATATTTCTCATTCGCGTCTTCCTGGTACTGCGCGTTAGGCTGATCAACATAGCCACTTTCAGGATGACCGATATACTGATCGTACTGTTCGCCCGTGTACCCTTCGTACTGTTCGCTCGGTTCCTGCGGATATTCCTGGATAGCATAGCCCTCGTACTCCTCCTTTTTCTCGTATTCGTAGGGTTCGTTCTGATCATAGCCGTAGCCTCCGTTCAAGTTCTCTTCACCGCTTGGCCCCTCGACGTTCTCTTCGTGTTCGGTACCCATTGCCTCAGATTTTTCTTGGTCGTTATCCTTGTAATCGTCGTAATCGTTGAAATCTTTTTGCTCGATAAACCTATCGTCGCCATCCGGAGATTCCACGTGCTCTTTCTCAGAGACTCGGGGCTGCAGCGAAGCGGGAACCTCGTCATAGCGATCCTCCGTTCTCCCAGCTTCGTGCTGATCGCCTGGATACTCGTTGTCCTGCAATTCTAACGTATCGTCGGTATTGTCGAAAATCACCTCCTGCTCCTGCTCCTGCTCCTGCTCCTGCACAGTTTCGCTAGCCGGTATTTCCTGTTCAATTAGCATCGCGTCGCTTTCATCCGGCGTGGTCTCCTCCGCGGAGTCGATTCGCCTGATTTGCTTCTCGACGGAGGCCAAGTTCCACGGCTCCAGCGCTTCGCCGACGCTGAACAGGGACTGCTCCAATCTCGATTGTTCTGCAACATAGATTCTATCATTGTCGCGGCCAGGATGGACTGGGCGATCCCGCCGCGGCTCGGGCGGATCATCGGCGCCCGGAAAACTCTGGTTTTTCAGCTTTTCAATATTTTCACGCGAGTCTAATTCCGGCCGGCGCAACGCAACGTCGCCGCTAATTCTGTCCGTTGCGTGCGCCATCGATGTTGCGCGTCCTTGCCGAGCATCCGATATTTCAACATGATTTCTTTTGGCCAACGACGCGCCACTTTGTAGCTTCTCTTCCTCTTTCTCGGCGTGCCTGGCGCCGCTCCTCGTTCTGGACACCAGATTCTCCGCGAGCTCCAACACTTTCTTGACGTCGTTCGCGAGGTTCTTGTCGAAGCTTTCCTTGGCGGACGCTCGGGAATCGCCGCGCGACGCAGCCGCACGCTGCTCCATCATCCGTGTTCCATCGTTGTCCGAGCTCTGCATGTCGAGGTCGCGATGAAGCTTCCGAATTTTCTCAAGGTACTCGTCGAATTCGCTGTTCGTTCCCGTTGGAACCTTCTCTTCGTTCTCTTCCACGCGGACTTCTTTGTTCCCGCATCTTGGATCGTATTCCTTTCTTTGGAACGATGCTCTCGGATATGGGAAGCTGTCGTTGTCGTTCGGGTAGCTATTGGGAGGATTCGATCGCAACGATTGCGTACGTCGAGACGGATCCATGGGGTACTGGGAAATCGACGGTAGATCTGGAAGCTTGGCAGCATCGAGGTAGAGGTGTCCTTGCGTGAAAAAGCGATCGAAGCGGTCTGCGCTTTGCAGCTTCGATTCAGCTCGAGGATCGCTATCGTTGAGGCGAATATCGTTGTTGTTGTCGGATGTTCGACTCTGCTGGAAGCTTCTGTCCCCGCTTGGTGGGGACAAACGAATCTTGGGTAACTGTTGAAGATCGTGTTTCCAGTACATCTGCAAGGCATCCGGATCGTATGCGGTTGTTCGTTGACTCGGCGTTTTGACAGCCTCCAACGGGGAACAGAAACTCGATCCGATTGTTTGGTAACTCGGCCGAGGCGATTTCAACAGCAAAGTACCGCGCCCTTCGGGTGATAGGGAATTCATCCGCTCGTTCGCATCTGTTCGCAGGTATTTATCGGCCTTCCGACCCGATCCTTCGCTTACGCCGTCCGCATGAACTGTACACATTCGGCGAAGATACGCTTCGTAATGTTTCTGAAAAAATAACGAAATATTCCTCGTCGTAGAGTACACGCGCGCGCGAACTACGGTGATATAACATATAATAGGAAATAGCTTTTCAGAATGATGACCTTGGCAACGTATTTCAAGATCATTGAAATCGGTGTTAAGGACCCTATAATTAATAATTGTTTGCTCAATATGATCTGCCAAACATGTTAGCAAAGTTTGTCGATTTGTATGTAAATATAGACTGTAGATGTAGAAAATCTACAGTGTGATCACAACTATACGTGGTCGAACAATACGTAGTTATTAGGAGTAATAACCGCTAGCATACTATTATATAAAGCAGCAATCTTTGTGTTAAGAGCACAATTTAACAATGAGACCGCTAACTACATATAATATACCGCTAATCACGAGTACTCGATTAATCATCCAATTGAAGCTTTCATCATTTTGCGTAATTGCTTTCGTTTATGTAATCGTTTGTTCTTTTTCTGTGTGTTATTTGATCAGTGTACTGCGCGCTTAAGCACCCATTTAATTGTCCGCTTGTATCTTGCAACTTCCCCCACTCTCTAATATTCCTGGCACGTGCTGGGATACCCCTTCCCATATTAAGTCTTTCTATTCATTCCCTTCGTTTACTTTCCAGTACAAAAATGTAATATTGTCCTGTTCGATAAATATAAAGCTAATTATGCCCGAAAACAAACCAAAGGCACGGTGATTGATCACTCAAGAGTAAACGGCTCCGCTACCCTAGCGACTTGTACAGAAAATATAATCTTTCTCGAACAACTGCTAATTTTCGCTATAGTCTGTGCATCATGCGACTGCAATTGCGAAAGCAAAATTAACGTAACTGTTAATCAAATATTGTGTTAGAACTCCGTGTTCACTTGTTTCGAACCAAAATGCAGAAAATGAAAAATAAACTCACTCTAAGAATGTTAAGCCTATCTGTTCTCGCTGTCATCAAGGCTAGACTATTGTCCACGCTGTCCAACGCTTCGAGGAGCTTGTAGTTCCTTTGGTCCGACACGCGTTGCTCCTCTAAAAACTCTATGTACTTGAAACGTAGCCGATTTATACACGTATTATGCCTGAAACGTTAATCACTTCATTAATACCAAATGCGACTTCAAATTCATTCGAGCAAGCAATGGATAATGTTTCATGGTATTTGTTTGTCTTTTTGCCGAACTCAATATTTGAAGTGTGAAAAAGTAATTGGACAACGTAAAAATTATGATTATTTGTCAACTAAAGTGTTCTCCCCACGTAATTTCTTCCAAAAATATTATTGAATAATACAGGAAGAAATTATATTGTATTTTTACAGTAAGGATCCAAGCTTTCTGGGCTTAGCGGTAGTTCTGAGACACCCTGTATAGTAAAAGCTCCGAGCTTAGAGCGACGATCGGATGTCAGACGATCGATCAAGGAATGGAAAATTTCTAAAAAGAACTGTAATTTAAAAAATTGAAAGAATATCCATGCAGTTTTCCTCTGTTTAAAGGATCGATGATTGTTTACTACGTAACTATTTAGTACGTATATACTTATTGAGTAGTTATGTATGTATATATGTCTATCCAAAATAAATCGTATTCCGAGATGATTTTATATTCATGAATATTATCCGTGACATTCCCTAAAAGTAGGTTGCTGCCAAATCGATATGTAATCTACTAAGTTCTTTCATGTTATTATTACCTAAGAGGAGAATAAAATCAATAGCACGACTACTACAAAACTATTATTTGCAAGTTGTATTATGAATCGTAGCGATCGAGGCAATTTGATTTGTGAAAAAACGTACCTGTTACGAGATTCTTGTAACAATACTTTGAATCTTTCTTCTAGTCTTATCCTTTCTTCTTCGCTGCAATGGTCGTGTAATTTGTACAATAACTCTGTTAATAACCTTACTATATATCATAAATTGTAATGCCATATATCCTCGTCGCATGTCGCACGTCCCACACGATTTGCTTACCTTTTTCGTAATTTTTCTTGTAGTTCCAACATTTTTTTATAGTAGCCATGACTATCGTAGAACGATGTCATGGTATGTGCGCATACATAAACTGTTCGATTGAATTTCCCAGTGATTGAAGAAACCGGTAGCGTCGATTGTTTCGACTTTTGATATGTTGTCAACCGATTTATTTAAATAAAAGACTTTTCAACAAAGCTTTCGCAGGTGAACCGTACAACAGCGAATCATGTTGCACAAGAACATTGTAGAACATTTTGCCAATAAATATTGTGTTTAAGTAACACACATTGTATCTTCTCTTTAGATTGTATTTTCTTCTATTCTCTGTTTTATGTTTTTTATTTGGAGGGAACAAGTAAAATGATTTAACGAGACGATGTTAATACTATACACAAACGTCACTTAACGATACTGAAAACAATGCAGATAACCATGTAGCGGTACAAGAAAGATCTTTCTTTGTGTCGGCACAATGAGCAACTGTACCATGTTCCATTTGACGTCGAATGGCAACAGTAACGGCCGAGGGTGTCGAGGGTGTATCGGCAGGTACTTACATATATAGACAGGTGTCCCTCCTGGTACGCCGACATTATACTATATGTACCGTTCTATGATCATCAAAACATATCAACATACATACATATGTATACACATATATATTTAATGACAATCATTAAAATTGAATAACGCTCTATTACTGCACTAAAATTAACAAATATTCAATTAGATTATTCAATATTATTCTATTCTATAATTTTTCTAATGCTGTCGAAATTATCAGTATGTTTCCTAAAATTCCGAAATTTACTGAATCATGTTGTAGATTGTTTTGCGAAATTGCAGTATGTACATGTTAGAAACTGTAATTCTCGAATTTGTCCTTCGCGTGATAATCACTCATCTGCCGCATATATACATAGTATTGCAGTCAGTAGACATATATTATTCATAGCATCGAAATGTCAAAAATATCCTATTCGATATTTTGACTGTCATGCTCTAACGTACCTTAAAAACTTAAAATTGAAAAGTTCATTTGTTTGACCGATTACATTTTCGACAACCTTACGTTCTGCGGATCCCAGTCAAATTCGGAAGATGTAATAAATTAACGTAAAAATTAATTTTTTAATACATTTTATGTATTTTTCACGTATTTTTGTAGACTAACCTAAGATAAAACCTTTTTGCAACTTTAACATAATCAATTTTGAGATAGAAGCATAACAATTGCAAATTAGTTTCTTCCGAATTATGTATAACAATATGCTTGTGTGTGTGTATTCTTTTGTTACATATTGTTTATTTTATGAAATATGTTTTTATTTCCATATGGAATAAATGCAAATGTTTACAATTGACATTGTTGATTGATGGAATTTACTGAAATATGTAAACATAGACTATAAAAGAATTTAAGACGTTCCTAAAATTATATTTATTTGTAATTTTCATGTTAAGAAGCATTTTCACATTCCTTAATATACTTTGCTAATAAATGATCATGTAGTTCTGGTGTAGTTTCAGTAGCCAAACATAATTTATGTTGCAAGCAGTTGTCAATCAGTCTAAATTCTCTTCGCAACTATTAAAATTAATATATGATTGTACACATTGTGAATGTTGAATTACATTTTGCTTTTTATACCTTGGTAACCTTAGGCACCCTTGCTCCTTCTGTCGGTACCTGTATGCTGATTGTTTCTAATCTTACAATTTTGTCTTCAACTATGCCTTCTTCGATGGTTACAAGACCACGATTATGTGACAATAATAGGGCCACTTTATTTGTATCAGGTACTATTCTCAAAAAACCCATTTCATAATGTATTGGCTTTTTGTTATCTGCATACCAACTTCTTGCAGTATAATTTAACATTGGTTGACCTATTGACCTGAAACTCATTTCTTCATCATACTTAAAAGATTTAATTGTTGGATACTTTCCAGAAGCAGGTTTTTCAGTTTTCCATGTACCTCTTAACCAAGCTATTGGTTTGAGTGCATCGTGCATTGGTAATTTAAGGTTCATGTCTACAAAGAGAAATTGTTTGCCATATAATCATAGAGTAATCATGCATATCTACGCATAAATGTTGGACAATATTTAGTTTAAATATATTTATATAACTAACCTGTAAGAAGGTAAAAAATATATTACTTGAAAACATAACTTACAATTTGTCACTTTTAACTCTTTGCAAATATTTGCACTTCTTTTATTTTTTCATCCTATATTTGTCCTATATTTCTTTATATTTTATTTTAAAGTCTGCATTAGTGTACACACGCTTCACAAATAAAGTTAGATGGATACAATATTGTACCTTATATTCTGAATGAAGATAAATATATTTTCGCATTTTTCTAAACTTCAAAATCTAAAGAATTATACTTCGCAAATTTAAAAAAACCGCGTCTTCTGAATATATCAATATGGCGACTGTAATTAACAAATTCGAGTAATTCATTCCACAGATATTTGCATCGTTTTG